TGGCGGGCTATACCTAGTATAATATAATATGATCTCCACATGGTCGCCATGTATGAATGAGGCAGTCTTTATATATTAGGCTACCAACTGAAACAAAATCTCTTGTTTATTACACACAACATTGTCATTTAGGAAAAAATGATCATTCGTGGGAATATAAGTGCCGACTCCACATGCTTTATATCTGAAGTAGGTTCAATGGAACAACAAAATGATACTCTGTCAAAAAGGGGGGGGGGAACAACTACAATAATCTTACACCTTCGTCTTTAGGCTCAGGTGCTCAGATCTTGAGCTCTATACCTATCTGTTTTTTTTTTTTTTTGATGGTAAGCCAGAGGCTATTCATCCAATGTCTGCATGGATGGATCCACAAACAGTTTTAAAAAAAATTATAAACTGTCAAGCGTCCCGTTATTTTAACTGGATATCGCCTTTGCTGGTGGCTCTTGGGGATGTGGTGTGTCCACATCGCGGTTAAATGAACAGTCGTTTCTGTTAAATTTTCTAGAGTACGTAAAGTGTAATAAATCATTTGTACCAAAGACACAAGTTGAAATAATATCCTCATATTTAAGACAGTAAGTCTATTCAATTCAGAAGAGTGCATGGGTCGGGTTTAGCTAAGAGAGCGACGAGGTTGATGTGGTTAATGATAGTGTTGGCAGTGTTGGAGTGATAAAATAATAGGTTTTGGGTTCGTTAAGGATAGTGTTGGGTTGTGTGTAGTAAAGTTGGTCTGTCAAAATTCTTTTGCTGCCCTCTCGTATACCACTTTTCAGCTAAGTGCTATTTTTTTAAATTTAATTCTGTTTTTATTGTTGCTTGTTTGCTGATGAAGGCTTTCTGCCGACGCGTTCATTGTTTTTTGCGTTCATTTTTTCAGTTTTTCCCATACTTTGTTTCACTCATTTCCTAATCTACGCAGTGGTCTAAACTTTTAGCTGTCAGCGCTTAGCGTTGTCCCGCTAGTGGTTGAAGTTGTCGCTGAGGTGGTCAAGCATTGTCCCAACTTGTCCTAGTGTTGGTAGGCCATTTAAGTTCGTGTTTGCAGAGCCCCCTCTCCTCCCCCTCAACTATTCTATCCCCAATATTGTCCTGTCCACTACAACGAATACCTGGTCTAAGTCGCGCGCCGTCGTCACGTGAGGTAATCTATCACTAAGTGTGGTGCTAAGTGACGAGATTATTGACCCCCCTGTCATTTTTCCGTAGCCCGATATTGTCTACCCCGGGACCAAAGCCGGCTAATTTTGTTGACATTTCTGCCCAAACTTCAACATGGCAGAGAATGAACCGAGAGCGTACAATTCAAATTACAGGAGACGGGGGGACTCTAAGAGATCCCACTATACACCGTGTCCGGCAAGCAAACCACTTTCACCGGTTCCCTGGCTGGAAACTTGGGACAGAATCAACAGCGTGACATCTGTGGATCGACCTCTTAATGAAGATGTGTCAAACTCGGTGGGGTAGGGGGTGGGGTAGGGGTTGGGGGGACGGGGGNAAGATAAAAAAAAAAAAAAAACAGAAAAAAAAAACCACAAGAGTCTTTGTTTTACTTGGAATTAACTGTTTCATACGGCGGACAGGTTTCGTTAAAAGGATTAACCCCCCCCCCCCCCGGGCCACGAGTTATGAAGAGAGATGAAAGCAAACACACAGGAGTCAAGGGTCTACCGCAAACAAAATGATAGTCTCCTCTAGAAATCAGCTGCTTGGAATATTGACGATCCTGACATGTCAAATTGATTTTGATCGACACATTGCATGGACGTTGTTGTTGTTGTTTTTTGTTTGTTTGTTTGTTTTTTTTTAATGTCTGTTGACAGCTTTAGTCAGTTTGATAGATGGCTGGAGGAGATTTAGTTAAACACATACGTAAGTGGGTTAATTGGAGTTAAGGACTTAAGGAAGTAGGTCAACTGGAGTTAAGGACTTAAGGAACTAGGTCAATTGGAGTTAAGGAGTTAAGGAAGTGGGTCAACTGGAGTTAAGGACTTAAGGAACTAGGTCAATTGGAGTTAAGGACTTAAGGAAGTGGGTCAGTTGGATGTAAGGACTTAAGAAACTGACTCAATTGGAGTTCATGACAAAACAGTGTGCACGTATGTATAACACGTGAAGCTTTGTAATTCATTTCTAAACTTACTTATAAAATGAGATGCAAACATTGACTATAGAGCTTTTATAACCACCCCCCCCCTTAAACCTAATACAAACAAGTCCTTACAAGAGGCTAAGCATCCATATTATTATGTTTGAACGCACGGTGCAACTAATATTTAATAAAATGGGTGAGGGGGGAGATTTTCAAAACAAAATTTTAAAACTTTGTCAACATTGAACCATGTTCAGCTCATTCGTTCAGTCACTGTTGTAACTCAGCCGTGTGTACGAACTCCTCTATTTGCTTAGCCAATTTTCATCATTAAACTATTTTGAAATGGGACCCTGCAGAGAAAGGCGAGGTAGGGGTCTTCGGATCCCTCCCGCCTAATCATTGCTTGTTTTTTTAAAAATGTATTTTAAGTGCGCTTAAATCGATTGTTTACAAGGACCTGCAACCGTTGTGACGTCACATAGAGTCGGACGATATTAGGAGCTATCAGATCGCTAACCCAATATGAATAGGCCTACCTGATATTAGGAGCTATCAGATCGCTAACCCAATATGAATAGGCCTACCTGATATTAGGAGCTATCAGATCGCTGACCCATTATGAATAGGCCTACCTGCATTGGGGCTTCTTGCGCGGTAACGAAAGATTGGATTTCAAATTATTTTGTTATTTTTCTAGCAATGCTAGTAGCATTAGAGAGCGTAATACAATGCATACATCAAGTCTGCATCCACTAAATGAACTGTAAGACCGCGGATTTACTTGGTGGCATACAACATCAGGCTCATCCACTAAATGAACTGTAAGAACGGATTTACTTGGTGGCATACAACATCAGGTCTGCATCCACTAAATGAACTGTAAGACCGCGGATTTACTTGGTGGCATACAACATCAGGTCTGCATCCACTAAATGAACTGTAAGACCGCGGATTTACTTGGTGG